TTAAGAAGAATTTAATGAGAAAAAACACATACATACTCTCTGTAATTGTGGAAGAATGATATTCACAGCACTGTCAATCTTATGCCTGGGTAAAGTAGCTGGGAAAGACCCTCTGGTCCTACTTACTCACTACCTCTTTTCTGCTTCTTGGTGAGAGCTGCAAACTCCCCACCATCCCACTTAGGATTATAGATAAGAGCTTAAGTGCAATCCACTGACAAAGTATTCTTTGACTTACATGGGCAGATAATAGATGATTTTCTAATAGGTCGTTTTTGATGATGGCAAATAGAGGAGTGGGTAGATAGTTAAGATGCCTGTCGATGTCAGGGCATCTAAGCTAAGATACCCAAAGACAAATTCTTTTCAGTTTTACCTCTCATAGACCCAGCTTCCCCCTCAACTCTCCCTAAAAAATAACTTTGACAATATAAGCGCTTACCCTAAAATTGTCTTTATATACCTCACAGAATACCTTGTATTCCTTATATAATACCTTACATAATAGCTCACTTTAGACTTCGACATTTCACAGGTCTTTAAGATTAGGAGGCCAGCCACCTCAAAGGACTAGGCAAGGGAGCCCCTAGCCATGGTAATTTATAAACATTTTTAGACCTGTTTTTGTTTCTGTAGTTCTATGGGAGGAGAGAATAGGGAATCCAGAAACATGACGAAACATGCTAATTACAGTCTATTTGGGACACTTTAGATGTAGGTTTTTACAATTTTATTGATTGTTAGGAGGAGTATAAACTGATAGAACTGATATAGCCATCAAAATTTAAAATGTGCATACGTTTTTGGGAATTTATCCTACAGATATACTTACATATATGGGAAGTGATACGGGTATAAGGATATTCAGCTTGTAATAATGAAAGACTGGAAGTAACCTTAAGATCTATTATCAGTAACTAGTTCAATAATGGTGCATCCTTAACTATGAAATACTGTGAAGCCATTAAGAAGAATGAGATATGGACCCTGACATGGAATACTGTCTAGGGGATATTTTAAAGAAATATGCATAGTATATAACTATTTGAGCCTAAATAATTTTATGTGTATACATACATACATACATACATACATACATATATATTCTTTTATGCTTGTAAAATATATGAAGTATTTCTGGAAGTATACTCAAGAAACTTAACAGTGGTCACTTCTAGGGTGGAAAACTGAGGCTGGGGTCCAGGGTAGACTGGAGACTTGTTACTGTATCCCCCTTTTGTAGTCTGGATTTCGTACCATGTGAATATTAGCTTTTCCAAAAACATAAAATTTAACTTAAAAAATACAATGAATGGCATGTACCAGGATTCATCAGCCACAACTAAAACTCCCAATAAAATGAGTTGTTCAAGTTATAACATCTTCTAAAATTTTTTTTTATAGACCTTTGTGTCACTTCAGTGTCAAAAGGAGGATTTGAGAGGGAAGAAACCCCAACGTTTGGGCTGCTCTACAGACTGAGGAATATTCTATTTGAGAGAAGTATGTCTGTTGAAGAGTATTTCAAATGTTTCTTTTCTTCTTGGATTAATACTCGAGTTTATCCAGTCAGTACTCCTTGTCTGTAAAGGAGGAATTTAAATCTAAAGGCCAAATCATGTCATGACTGATGGTTTAGATTCACGTACGTATAAAGGCGGGTTGGTTATATATTTCTTCTGTGACTTCTAATGCATTTCTCTGTTTCTGTGCTTTCAGATAGAAGAGTGATGGATACCATTTCTCGTTCACAGCTTTACTTAGATGATCTTTTTTCTGACTACTATGACAAACATCTCAGCATGACTGATATTTCTCTCAAAGAAGGGACTCATATCCGAGTTAACCTGCTTAATCACAACATTCCCAAAGGACCTTGCATACTCTGTGGAATGGGGAACTTTAAAAGGGAGACGGTTTATGGGTGCTTTCAGTGCTCTGTTGATGGCCATAAGTATGTGAGACTTCATGCGGTTCCTTGTTTTGATGTTTGGCACAAGAGGATGAAATAAAATGGAAAGTGAATGTAGTGTTTTGGGTGCAACTGTGCCACACACCGTTCCAAAATCATCTCGGTATGCTTTGATAAATTATGGCAAATTAAAGAGGGCGAAGAAAGAGAAATTAACCTGTCTGGGCATCATTTTCTTCATTTATAAACGTGGAGATGATAATAGTGTCTGCCCTATAAATTATCATAAAGATTAATATTACTTATGTGAAAAAAGATTTAAATGCAAAATTCAAGATATAGATGTTCCTTCATGAAATCTTCCAGTTACTTTAGAATTATATTTGGGATTCAGCTGTCATTTTAGATAACTTTACATAGTGATTTTGCTAAATATCAATTTTATCTTTAATTGAATTTTAATATTTAAGAAAGACAAGAGATTCAGAGTGGTGACTTTATGGTGCTTTAACCATTGCCCTAGGTCCGGTAAAATGAGAAAAATGTGTTAATAATTTAATATAATCCTAAATGTTTAATTGTGGTATCAGATGAAAGGCACACTGAGCTCAGTGTGGGGTTTTATGGACACAGTTCACAGGGTGACTGACCGCAGTATATGCCATTGTGTGATGTACACACGCTCACTCGTTTTGTCTTTACAAAAACTCATTACTCTCATTTTAAAGTTAAGGCAGCTAGGACACCTTTATTCTTTCCCCTTTGAAAATGTTTAAAATATTTAACATATTCAGTTCTGAGAGATCTTTTTCATCTATTCTATAAGACATCTGAAATTTTGCATACACAAACAACCTAAATTATTAATTTATTATATGCCCTTATTAAAATAATTGCAAAAGTAATGAAAATTCTAGAACTCAAAATGTAGTGACAGCACTCCCTACTGGGCATATGCCTATGAAAGCATAAAGCAATTGTGTAACTACAAAATACCTGATTAATTATGTAGAATGATTAAAATTTTATTTATTTAAATGTGGTTAGTTTTAGAATCAATCTCCATTTTACATCATCTATAATTTTTAAAAACATAAGTTTAAAAGCACTTGGAAAACAACGGGACAGAAAGGATAGAATTATGAACAGAATGTATTATGGAATGATTTCCATGTATATCTTCTTCCACTGTATTTGTGTTTTGAGCAGAATATATGAGTCAAATGCAAATATGAGTATACTGATTGCAAAATGCTCTAGTGGCTTTTTTTTTTATATAGAAAATGGGGGCAGTTTCCAAACCAAAACATAATATTGAGTCACCAACTTCGTTCATTTCAACAGAGCAGGTTTTCCTGAGGGAAGTCGAGGAACGAGAATTGGCAATTGAGCAAGTGAGGAGTTACAAAATTAGGTACAGGCATGAAGCAGTCTTGGGAGGAAAGGAAAGATAGCAAGGGTTTTGGTTTTATGAAGTGTCAAACTCTGTGCTATGCATATGTGATATCCATTAATCTGGTGTTTTTTGCATTACCCCTGAACTTTTAGATAATAGGATTTCTGGCAGTGTATCTAAAGAGGTTAAAAGATGAACACTGAACAATGGTTTGGAAAGAGCAAGTTTCAGAAAATGGAAAAAGCTTTGGTTCGAACTCACTTGTTTGGAGCAGAGCTATTTAATCCTGACCATACCTTTCTACATATGCAGTGGGCAAAACCTTACGTGGTCCAATAAATAACGTGCAATTTCTTTGACACCAGGGTGATCTTCTACAGCATCTCTTACCTCCTATTCTCAACAAGTTGGATGTCATGGTTTGACCATGACACAAAACTGTCATTGCAGTGTATATCCCCATTTGTATCCTCATTTGATATCCTCACGTGTAAAATAAATTCTACGCATTTTCAAAAATTTGATGGGGTAGCAGTTTGTAATGCTCATTTATGATCAAGAACAAGAATATCGTAAAATGAAGTGACATAGGATAGAGGTACATAGAGAAAGGGAACTGGAAACTAAGAAATACCATGGCATTAATTAATTAATTAATTAATTAATTTTTTAAAAGATTTTATTTATGTGAGAGAGAGAGAATGAGAGAGAGCACGAGAGGGAAGAGGGTCAGAGGGAGAAGCAGACTCCCTGCTGAGCAGGGAGCCCGATGCAGGACTCGATCCAGGGACTCCAGGATCATGACCTAAGCCGAAGGCAGTCGCTTAACCAACTGAGCCACCCAGGTGCCCCCATGGCATTAATTTAAAATGATCAAGACAAAAAGTTAGGGATGGTAGATCTAAAGGCCTACAAGAAGGAAGAGGAAGTAGCCCATCTATAATGATGTCTAAAGGAGTACATACTCAGAGCAATATGATTTTATCATGTCTAAGAGGCACAAAGTCTTCGGTCTGATCAATTATCTTTAAACATTCTCCGTTGGAGGGACACCTGGGTGGCTCAGTTGTTAAGTGTCTGCCTTCGGCTCAGGTCATGATCCCAGGGTCCTAGGATCAAGCCCTGCATCAGGCTCCCTGCTCAGCAGGGAGCCTGCTTCTCCCTCTCCCTCTGCCCCTCCCCCAGCTTGTGCTCTCTTCCTCTCAAATAAATAAATAAAATCTTAAAAAAAAAAAAAAAACATTCTCCATTGGAATAATGACCAAAGGCCAGAGCTTGCACCAAAAAGTACAGAGACTGTGTTAAGGCTCTCTGTGGGACAGAGCTATACAACTAGTATTTTCCTATATGCATACGAAAGGAAGATTTGTTTAGCCCTCTGATTTTTATATCCCTCTATTTGTAATGCTATGAAATGTATAAATAAATGAAATGTTCATTCCTGGGTCCTAATGAATATTTTCAATATATGGGGCATTTTTACAATCAAAACGTTAAAAATTGGATATTTAAATATTTATACATGTTGTTAAGGTTAGAGCTGGGAAGAACTTGTAGATTTTGACATAGGTGTCCTCCTATCTCCTGAAGGGGGAGAACTGACCACTGGGACATGGAGGTCTATTTCATGGTGCTGCAATTTGTGTTCACAGGATAAAGCAGTAGGAAACACAATCATACCTTTCCTGAATGTTAAATTTGCAAAATAACGCACATTTATTATGTCAAAATTACATATATTGAGGGGATCAAAGTATGTTCTCATGGGAAGAAAACAGAAAATACAAGTTCTAGAAAAGTGACTTTGTTTTATATATAAAGTACAGTAAGTAGCTAAGACAATTTAGAAATAAAAATATACTATAGTTCATCATGGTGATATACATTGTATTCCTTGGAAGAAATGAAGCCATCACCATCATGATCATTCTTCTTAAAAATATCTTCTAAAACTGCATTCTGATATGACTTGTCGCGTGGCTTGTCATCTTTTTCAAATTCCCTTTTCAGGTAGTGATTTATCTAGAGGGCCAAAATAATGTCTTTAACAAAAAAGTACCACAGTAAATTTTCAGTAACTTTAAGGAAATGTTTACATAAGAAAACTCAACTCTAAGGCTACTTATAATAAGTGATATAAAATTTTTAAAAACTGAGGTTTTATTCTTTTAACCTTTGAAGCAATTTTTCTGAAAAGAAACATCTTCAAATTAGCTTCGCCTGAGGTTATAGATGGTTAGTGGTACATACTCAAAGATTAACGTCTGAATTGAATTTTGTTGAAACTGTTTTCCAATAATCTATACTGTCCACATTATGAAAGGAAAATCAGGAAAATCATTCTTAAAGATTTCTAATAGTGAATAAAACCCAAATTGGCATTTTTATAATCTCTAAAATTAATGCATATATTGTATTATCAATAAAATTCAACCATAGGTTTTGAAATAAAATTTAATTTTCCTAATTTTTCTATGCTTCTATAATTCTCCTTCAAATCTACATAACTATGGCAATCTCTATAATAATAAGACCAAATAAAGAACAGGTATTAAGTATTCTTTCTCTGTGTAATATGACATTTCTACTAACCACATGGAACTACTAAGCACTTGACACGTGGCTAGGTCAAACAGAGATATGCTACTCTAAGGGTTAAACACACAACAAATTTTGAAGACAATAAAAAATAATTGATAATTTTTACAGTGATTTCATGTTGAAAGGGAACTATCTTAGATATATTTAGTTAGACAAAACAGTATTAAAATTCATTTCACCTGTTTCTTTTTGCTTTTTAAGATGTGGCTACTAAAATTTTTAAATTATATATGTGACTCAATTCTATTTCCATTGGAAAGTACTAATACATATAATAACTAAAGAAAGCAATGTGTAATAATCTGGAAATACTGTTCAGCAAGGCTGAGTATTTTAAAGGCAAGAGTATTTTTGAAAGCTAAAGTTGAACTCTGAGAAGTTTTTAGCAGTATGTATCCCAACTCAGTCCATCGTGAGTAGACTTTATTTTAGAATGATCAGTGGATCTTAAGGATAGATCAACTATTCTCAAGTGAGACTTCAGTCCTATTGAGGGAGATACATATTTTCTTCCAGTTGAGCCTCAGCAATCCTATGTAGGTGAAAAGAATTTTAAAGAACCTCAAATATTCCTCAGTTTCTAAGTAAACAGATTTTCATAACCAATATTACTGACTCTCAGGACGTACTTTTCTAGTACACTGTAGTAGAGAGGTACAAAAAGGCAGCGGGTAAGAACATAACCTTAATTTTGCTGGCAATGAGTTCCACACTATTTCCACTTCATAATTTAAGAAAAATACTGTGTTCCTCTTCTCTCTCACCTTATACTAAAGAAATAAGTGACTCAATCTTTCTGATGATGAAGGGAGGTAGTTTTAGTTCATGTTTCAAATCTAGGCTTTGTCATGTACTTGCTGTGTGATCTTAGACAAATAATTTAACCTCTCTGGACCTCAATTTTGTCATCTGTAAAAGGAGGGAAACAGTATCTCTTTGGTAGTATTGATGGGGGGATTAGAGTAATGTTTATGGATGTCAATGAAAGACAGTTATTATCATTCATGCATGTGAAAGTCACGCTTACCATCTAGTGATAATGCAGGTGATACCTGAGAGACATCTGGACAGACTGTTGCTAAGCAGGTCACTGAATTCTGGACTTTCTCTACCTTTATTTTCCAGAAAGAACTAAAGATCCCACAAGACCTACTGAAGAGTCTTCATACTGCAGAATGTGCCTCTTTGTGTTCATTTGGTAACGAATAGTCTGTATGTACAGGCTGAGCTCTCGGGTGCTGTGTGAATTCATCTGCTGCTGTTTACTCTAAAACTCATGAGGAGTCAACGCAAAGTATGTACTGGCATGGATTTGCCACCCCTCTGATTGTCCTTCTTCTTAAGGAACAGGGGATCGTTTCATTCACATATCCCTCTTCCACGGCTGAGCAACAAAGGAGCTTCAGGGGAAAGTCCTTACTAATATCCTGGAGGAGGAAGTAGAATCAGGGTGGGGGAAGGACTGGAGAGGGAGAGGAAAAAGAAACAGAGAAAGAGGGCTTACTTGTCTCTTGAAATCAATGACTCAAGTACCTTCTGTTCCTTAGGTGGTAGAGTCATGCATGTTAAACTGTCTCCAAACAAGAGGGGAGACAACTTGGTTATTCAATGTAAGCAAAAAGGGTATAGTAGGTGGGACTAAGTAAGGCACCAGCCTTCAACAGTACAAACATTAGCCCTGAAACATCTATGCTGGAAACTCCCCCGAAAGAGGCAGGGTAGGCCATGGTTAAGAGCAAAGTAGCAGGGGTGCCTGGGTAGTGCAGTCGGTTAAGCAGCCAACTCTTGGTTTTAGCTCAGGTCTGGTCTCAGGGTTGTGAGATCGAACCCTGTGTCAGGCTCCTTGCTCGGCACAGAGTCTGCTTGAGTTCCTCTCTCCCTCTGCCCCTCCTCTCTCTAAAATAAATAAATAAATCTTAAAAAAAAAAAGAAAGAAAGAAAGAGCAAAGTAGCAGAGCCAGACTGCTGGGTTGCAGTCTGATTTTGCCACTTAGAGTGGTGTGACCTTACACCAGTTACTTAGTCTGGGCATCATTTCCCCCTTCTATAACATAGAGATAATGATGAGTGTCTATCTCATAAACTGTCACAAAGATTAAGTTAGTTCACATACTAATGTGCTTATAGTAGTACTTGGTACTGAGAAAGTACAAAAGAAAATGACTATTATTGTTCTGACATCTTTATTAATCCCTCAATTCATATATAAGAAAAACTGGAGGGACGCCTGGGTGGCTCAGTCGGTTAAGCATCTGCCTTGGGCTCAGGTTATGATCCCAGGGTCCTGGGATTGAGTCCCACATTGGGCTCTCTGCTCAGCGGGGAGTCTGCTTATTCCTCTGCCTGCCGCTCCCCCTGCTTGTGCTCGCTCTCTCTGACAAATAAATGAATATAATCAAAGATTGTATTTATTTATTTTGACAGAGACACACACCATGAGAGAGGGAACACAAGCAAGGAGAGTGGGAAAGGGAGAAGCAGGCTTTCCGCCAAGCAGGGAGCCCTATGTGGAGCTCGATCCCAGGACTCCGGGATCATGACCTGAGCCGAAGGCAGGCGCTTAATGACTGAGCCACCCAGGCGCCCCTAAATGAATACAATCTTAAAAAAAAAAAAAAAAGACTAACTGGAACGCAGAAGCTAGTTCGTGAACTCCTGGCTCCTGCTTACAACTTTCTAGTGCACACAATTCAAATTCTTGCTAGCTCTTTTCCTAATCTCATGTAATCCCCACAACCCTGTGAGGTAGAAATTATTTGCACTGTTACAAATTCCTATGGTGCTGCTTGAAAAAGCTCTGTTCTTGTAGCCTAGAAGGTGGAAATGCCCTGTAGAGATTAGCTTGGTATTTTATTTTATTTATTTATTTATTTATTTATTTGACAGGGAGAGAGAGAGAGAGAGAGACAGCGAGAGAGGGAACACAAGCAGGGGGAGTGGGAGAAGGAGAAACAGACTCCATGCTGAGCAGGGAGCCCGATGCAGGGCTCGATCCCAGGGCCTTGGGATCATGACCTGAGCCAAAGGCAGACGCTTAACGACTGAGCCACCCAGGCACCCCTAGCTTGGTATTTTAATGACTCTCTGGCAGGGAGAAAGGCAACTGAACAGGATGACTCATTACAAGTTTTATATTGAAAAAGCACATTTTCTTCTTGGAGCTTAGATTTTTTAGTAACCAGCTCTATAAAAGCAAAGTAATCAGCCATGCTCAGCAGAACTAAAAAATAACAGATGTAACAGAGATGTATTTAAATTGTGATGAAAAAATTAGACTGTACACATGGAATTTGTTTGAATTACCTCTGTTTTAGAGAGTTGCTTGTCATTGTCCGTGTCTATCTGTTTAAATGTTTCAATGCTTCGTGGTCCTTTCGTCACAGCATAAAGTTCAATCTCAAAAATCAGTGTTGCGTGAGGTGGAATCTTGCCTTCTGCTAAAGGTATAATTTTTAACAGTTTAACTTACATGAAGATAATGTTCAAATATTTATTCACAAACAGCCATTATAACATTATGATTATATTATTTCATATTTATAAAAACTGCTTACCAAACACTTTTAAGAAATTTTTTTCCCATGTTTTTAAACCAAATCAGTTTTAAGGACCTCGTGGGCCATTATTTCCTGGTTTAATTAAAATAAATACAACTCATGAAATTTTTATTAATATGCCCCATTATTATACAGAAGAGAGCTAGTGCAGAGAAGAAATGCAGGGGCAGAAAAATTTCAAAGTGTATATCAGTAATCTTTTAAAAAATGATATTGTATAGTTATCTGGAAGCATGAATAAAACATGTTTCAATATGTCTTTCGAATCCTTTGTAGACAGTAAAAAATAAGTGCAATGACAGAATAACAGTAACAATTTTATAAAATCTCTAATCACAATAAAAAGTTTAAGTATTAAGTTGAACAGTCCTCTTGAATAAAGTTAACCTATTCACTCATCTGTGACATCATGTCACAGATGATCTTAGCAAGCTCTCGGCTATTTCAGATGACCATTTCATAAAAATAACCTGTAGAAATGATGTGCTAAGAGGCAGGGGTTAGTCTGTGTCACCAATATTGCCCAGAGTCTCCCAGAGTCTTGTCCATTATAGGCACTCAAATATTTGTTGAATGAATGCCCCTATGGCTTATTTTTAAAATGGCTGCTTGTTCTCTGAAGGAAACAGTAATTTCTTTAATGAAAGTCGAGAATTCTTGCTAAAGTTTTTATATAACCCAAAGAGAAAAGAGCTTGAAAGTTATAGCCAAAAGGAGAACTGGATCAGTCATCTCCAAAGCCAGGACATAGAAAAATCTACTCATGCATCCTATGACTAACAAAGTTCCAAGCTATGTCACCACCTATTACCTGACTTTAGAATAAAAAAAGGTGGAGATGAATTCAACGAATTTTTACAAAATCCATTCCTATTCTGTCCAGTTACAATCTCCTTACGACAGGGAAATAACTAATGATAATAAAGACAACCTCAAAACACAAATTCAAATTTCTTAAGAAAAAATATTACACGTACATATGAAGTTTCTGAATAATGGTACTGTAAATACAGGAAATATTGCCAATTAGGTTTTGTCTTACAAAGAAATTAGAGCATAAAAAGGAGAAAAAGGTGAATTTGCTATAGAATTACTTGTATTTAGAGAAGCAGATCAAAGACATAGGAGTTAATGTAAAGAATCTATACATACCACGTGTACTGTTAATTAAAGCACTAAAAAGTCACATGCATTTCAAGTCATGCAGGGTGCTCTGTCATATGAAGCAAGGATACTGCACAGAGGAAAGCCTTCTTCAAGTACTGCCTAAAATAAAGTTATAGCTCATGTTAGGTCTCAATAACAACTTATTTAAAGAAGCTTATTTGACAAGAAGTGGTTTGTAAGCATTATGTATGGTCTCCACTGCAATTTTTACATAATCTAATCCTACCTATTGTAATGCAGGTAAACCAGCAATTAAGTATGTTCCAAAGAACATACTTTTGTTGGGCCACAGTTTCCTTATGTGTAAAACAAAAGTGCTGGCGGTGTTACTAATGAGATTCATCATTTTTATGTTTATTGGGGACACCTCAAACTGAATACGAACTACCTTCTTCAAAGTTAAACTTGCACCTCTCTGCAGCAAGGGTCTGGTTTATTAATAGCTTGGGCAGCCTGGGTAGTCATTCATAGCTAAGCATAAACTAGTTTACAAAAAGGATCACTAAGTGGTCATTTGCTATAGGGAAAGGGGGCCCGATAGAATGGATGAGCACATAGTGATGAGGGATGTGGTTAAAATTAGATTAAAAAGTCTAAAAGGCAAACTTTGCCTGTATCATCTTGCCTGGAATCGGCCTCAACTCATGACAATATTTTTGGGCAAGTATTGCATTCAATTTAATTTATCTTCAATTTTTTTTCTCTCTCTCTCTCCCAGATTCCTCTACAACCAAAAATAGGATATACAAATTGTGGTTCCATGGAAGCTATTTTGATGGGACCAAATGACTGGCCAAAAGCATTGAGAATGAAGCTGTAGTTACCTGGAACTGTCTCTTTAGGAGTTTTCAGTCTGATTGGGTCTGCCTTGTGCCGCTAATCTCCCTGCAATCCAGTCTGGGGCAGGGGTCCCCTGCGCTTGCTGGAAAGAACAGGTGAGGGGATCGCTACTATTAATGAGTTAACAAAACAGCCTCAAGAAAGTGTGCCATTCAACGAAATATTTGGGAGTTATGACAGTATCTCATCGTAGAAAACTAATCTTTAATGACTTTAATTATATACTAAATATTTCAAATAGGTGGAGTTAGCAAGGATTCTAAATATTATGAGGAGGGAATGATTCTTTATAGTCTTCACACAGCAACAGTGAGCAAGGACCTAATTGAGAATGCAAAGTAAAAGCCCATCCCTCTGCCAGGCTGACCATTTTCCCCCTTTTAAAAACTTTCCCTCTTTATTCAGCTCCATTTTTAATTTTGGCAATTTAAAAAATTTTTAACTTTGGAAAAGTTGATACATGCACATGGCAAAAAATTTAAACAGTACAAAATATTAGAGAGTGAGAAGAAATCTCCTCACTCTTGACCCTCAGGTTTCCTTCTCAGGAACACTTAATGTCATCAGATGACTGCATATCCTTCCACATATAATCTGTGTAGATTCATGATGCACATGTGAAATTCTCCCCCTCACATGTAAGATCTTTGAGGAGAGGAAATGGTTTCTTCTTTGTACATTGGCTTATGCTCAAGGCCTGGAACAGGACCTGGCATTGATGCGCAATAAATACTCCTTGCATGAATACATTCTATACCACTTTATTTATTTTATTTTTTTAAAGATTTTATTTATTTGAGAGAGAGAGAGAGAAAGAGAGAGAATGAGCATGGGCGGGGGAGGTGGGGAGGGGCAGAGGGGGAGGGAGAAGCAGACTTCCCACTGAGCATGGAGCCCAACGCGGGTTTGATCCCAGGACCCTGGGATCATGACCTGAGCAGAAGGCAGACACTTAACCGACTGAGCCACCCAAGTGCCCCATCCCACTTTATTTTTAACAAATTAATACATATGGCTCTATAGCATTCTTTTTATTGGCTGCACCATAATCCATTGTATAGCTATACCATATTTAACTAATTCCCTATTGATGGATACTCAGGTAGTTTCCAGTTTTTTGCTACCAAATAAAAGTCCGTAATGAATATTCTTTTATATGTACCTGTGTGTACATTCCTGTAACTGGAACTACTGGGTCAGAGGATATGTGCTTTTAAATCTTTTTTTTTTTTTAAAGATTTATTTATTTGACAGAGAGAGACACAGCGAGAGAGGGATCACAAGCAGGGGGAGTGGGAGAGGGAGAAGCAGGCTTCCCACTGAGCAGGAAGCCTGATGCGGGGCTCGATCCCAGGACCCTCGGATCATGACATGAGCCTAAGTTGGAGGCTTAACGACTGAGCCACCCAGGCGCCCCTGTGCTTTTAAATCTTGATAGAAATTGTTACAAAGGTCGAGTGACTTATATTCCCGGCAATAATGCATGAGAACGCTGGTTTTCTATAGCTGTGCTAACTTTTATGCCTTTGACAATCTGATGAGTGAAAATGGTGTCTCATTTTGTTTTGATTTCCCTTTATTTAATTATTAGTGAAACTAAATATTCCCATAGATTTAGAGGTCATTTGTATTTTTTTTTGTTAGCGGGCTACTTGCCTATTTCTATGGCTAGGTCATTTTTATTACTGGTTAGTGAGTCTTCACAGTAGTTGCAAAAATTTTCCCCATTTATCTGCTTTACCTAGGTTCTCAGATCTTACAGTAGGATTTTAAAAATAGGTAAGATATTGAAAGAAGCAGTTCATTTCTTCCACATTTCAAGGCTGCTCCTGATTTTGGGGATTAGTGACTGACAGCTTTTTATTTTTATTTTTTTAAAGATTTTATTTATTTCTTTGAGAGAACGAGAATGAGAGAGAGAGAGAGAGCACATGAGAGGGGGGAGGGTCAGAGGGAGAAGCAGACTCCCCGCCGAGCAGGGAGCCCGATGCGGGACTCGATTCTGGGACTCCGGGATCATGACCTGAGCCGAAGGCAGACGCTTAACCGACTGAGCCACCCAGGCGCCCTGACAGCTTTTTATATTCAGATCCTCTTTTTACTATGTTCCAGTGCTGTCCTTTTACTCTAAGATCATATGTTTCAGTTTCCCAAGTCTTATGAATTTGACTTTTGTACTCCTTACCTAAGGTATATACTATAGACATTTATGTAATAATTAATAAAATAATACATACTAAAACAAAAAAAATGACTAAGGTAGAGCTTATAGAATATACAGGATCTTTATGAGTACTGCCACTATATGAGGGAAAGAACTCTGGCCAGAGAGCTATCTTCCAACGATGTCTTATTTTCTTTATACGTAAAAAGTGGGGACCATGCTGGACTGGACTAGATACAGCTAGTTTATTGGGCCCTATGATTCTGTAACTATTTCCTCTGTGGCTTTTTATTTTATTTGGTTGTTTTTAGTGATTCAAAAATTTTTAATTGTGGGAAATACATGTAACATAAAATTTACCACTGTAACCATTTTAACTGTACAGTTCACTATATTCACATTGCTGTGCAATCAATCTCCAGAACTATTTCATCTTGGAGAGCTGAAACTCTATACCCATTAAACTACTTCTCCTATTCCACCCTCTCCCCAGCACCTTGGCAACCACTCTTCTTTGAATTTGACTATTCCACATACCTCATACAAGTGAAATCATACAGTGTGTTTTTTTGTGATTGGGCACTTAGTCTAATGTACTGTAGGTTCATCCATGTTGTAGCATGTAGAATAATTTCCTTCCTTTTTAAGGCTGAATAATATTCTATTTTATGTGTATATGTGTTGTTTATCCACTTATCTGTCAATGGACACTTGGGTTATTTCCTCTTCTTGGGTATTCATGAATGGTCCTGCTATTAACATGAGTATACAAATATTTGAGACCCAGCTTTCAATTCTTTTGGATATATACCCAAAGCTATGATTTATTTTTAAATATAACTTAGAGATATAATATTAAAACACCTTACCATAGCCTTCCTTTCCATATGCAAATGAAGGGGGTATAATCACTTTCCGCTTCTCTCCAGGGCACATATCCATCATCGCAATGTCTAGGCCTTTTATGACTTGCCCAACACCAAGAACAAACCATTTGGGGTGGCCTTCATTTTGTGTCCGGCTATAATAAAAAACAACACTTAGGTAAGCTGATTTTAAGAAAAATAAAATCAAACTTTAAAATAAACCTGGACAGGACATGTGGGTGGCTCAGTCAGTTAAGCATCTGCCTTCTGCTCAGGTCATGATTCCAGGATCCTGGGATTAAGCCTCACATCGGGCTCCTTGCTCAGCGGGGAGCCTGCAGCTCCCCCTGCTTGTGCTCTTTCTCTATCTCTCTCTATGACAAATAAATAAATAAATAATCTTAAAAAATTACATCTGGACGTGAGGTTATAATTTAAAATTGGAGTCTTCTCTCTTTTCCCATATTAATATTCGTTCTGAACCCCCTAGTGGGATGTTTGGCTCAAACTTCTTTCATAATAGCCAGAAAGAAGTATGATTTGCCCAAAGCTAGTCATTAGGAGTCATGTCATTATCTTTTTTATTGCCATCTTGCAAAAACTATTCAATAGTTACCTTTTTAATGGGTCTCCGGCCTCTAACTAGCTGCATGGCTTGTCCAAATAACTCATTTAATCTTTCTGAGTTTGTTCTAAAAAAATGATGGTGCAGGTTTAGCCTCAAAAAGTCATTTGAACAATAATTAAAATTTGTATCTTTTCTTATTAAATTTATTTATTTTCTTCCAAATCGAAAGAACTGACTTTCCCCAATCCTATCTTTATAGGGTAATAGCACCAACGAAGAAAAGCCATTCTTCCTCTGAGTAATAAACGATCAATTAAATCAGAGCAGGCAGTGGTGAGATGAGGGGGGGATGAGAGAACACAGGGCCCAGAAGACACCAGTGAAAGTTATTGTTGTGGTTTTTGGATACAGTTGGAAAGTGGCCCTCAGTCTGTAAATATCATGCTTCTGAAGGCCAGATAAAATCTCTTAAAGTACCCTACCTAATCCTCTGTAAAGAGACTCCAACAAATGGCCAAAAAAAATGCTGAGAACATCCTTACAGACAGTACCATGACTTACCTTCTATAGATCCCAAGGGTGGTGGCGGTGGTCGGGGTGCGTGTGTATGTAGTGTATTTCCGACAATCTCTTGGGTCAACATTTTTAATAATTTAAAAAGTAATAGTTCAATAGGGAACTACTGCATATCAGTAGGAATGCCCCCCCCCCCCCAGGAATAAAAGTCTCAACTCTTACTGTTAAATAACAAGAACAAACCAATTAACCAACCACTTAGCTTCTGGTTGGTCGAGGGAGCCTAGATGTCATGCATTAACTGGACACCGGGGCAATTCACAGCATTTCCTACCTGCAGTAGAATTTCGAACCGTCTTTAGCCAAGAAGCCGTCGTAATGGGCATTTAGCAGGTCTCCCTTCTTGCTTGTCTTAGAACAGTTTTCTGGACGATGCAAAACTTCGATTTTCACTTCCTCTGTGCTCTCCTCTTCCTTTTGTCCCTGAGCAGTAAAAATGCCCCATACATAAAAGAAAACGATTAATCTTAATAGAAACTGCATGATTCCTGAAGTTGGACTCAGATGACACGGCGTTCCTTCACGCGTGTCAGTTGTGCCCAGCCGCTGTGAAAGCAGTTGAGTTCCGACGCGTGGCAGGCATTGTTCTACGTCACAAAGGGCCGGGGGCAGGGCGGTCTATGGCCCCGCCCCCTTCCGGCTCCGCGCTCCGCCACAGAATTTTCGTCTGTCCGCCCGGGGTCTGTCACTCTAGTACCCGGCGCTTTGGATGGCTGTCATCAGTCGCTAAGGCAGTACGGAACACTTGCACCGCTTCTCGTTAAATCCGCATATTTTACAGAAGGTTTCCTCAGGGTTCGCTAGTAATGATCGCGTTTCCTAAAATGAAACCGGCAAAAAGAATTAAACGGCCTGGAGGTGGGATGTTGTAGTCAGAGAATACGGCTGTCATTTCTGGGCGTAAAAGGTTTCTCCTCAGACCCCTAGGGCACTGGCGGGCATCGGGGGAGGCATTCTGCTTCTGGGGTGTCCTTGAAAGCACCTTCTCGGGGTGGAGTCATGCATTAAGAGGTTCCAGGCTAAGCCACACACAATCTGACGGCCACCTGGTCGCGAGTAAACAGAGGTGCTGCCGCTCCTCGCCCCTTTAAAGGCGTTTCCCACCAGCCAAGTCCAGAGATTTAGGACCTGCTGCTGGTTTGTGTTTCTCTCCCTCCACCCCTCGGGGCCGCCCTCGATTTGAGGGCCCATGGGACTTGGGGGAAAACTTGACGGTGTTCCTTCTCTTACCAGCACTGCGAGATTGGTAACCATCCACTGTGCGCAGATGAGAAAATGAAGTTATTTGAGTATTGGGCCTTTTGTTCCAATCTCACAGCTAATGCGCAGCAGGGATTTGACCAAGTTTGACACAAAACCAGCCTTTACCCCACCCAACATTTTAGTATGAAAAACTTTCAAACATACAGAAAAACTGAATTTTAGTACCCCGTTACCGCGGCCTTCTAGCCATCACTTGGATTCTATCATTAACATGAAACTATATTCGACTTATTACACAACCTCTCTACCCTTTCACCAGTTCACCTGATTTCCCAGTGAATACCCAAAGACTTTTTACCCAAATCAGAAGAGCTTCAGCGCAGGCCTGGATTAGGTTCTGGGGAGAGAGTTCGTTCTACCGCGTCTACCTCGGCTATGCTAAGCAAAACCGCAGCGCTGGGCCTGCTTTGCTTAAAGCCTGCAGCTTTTCGTAAATCTGAATTATTGTCATTATGTAAGATGATCATTTCCAAACAGGATTTCTTAAAATCATAAAAGCTAGGGGAAAGCCCTTATTTCTAGAATAAAATAAATTCCAAAGTTTGGTTCCATGTTTTATATTCTAAATGAAGTAGTCGCTATCTAAGGTTAATTGTCAGCGTGGTGACTGTTCTTGGGGCCCCTCGCGGTTTCTTGCCGGAGGACTCGCAGCGGCACACAGAGATACCTTCCTAGAAGGTAATTTCTTGGGCCCACTGAATGTGGGGAGGGTAGGAGGGAAACATAAACAGGTAGTTCTTTTACGTTCTTGAAACAACCACCGGAAGGACCTGAGGCTTAGCTATAGGAAAACCTGAGCGGCCTACTTTTCCCGCGGGATGTGTGCGCGGCCAGCTAGTCCTCGGGGCTGTGAGGGGCCGAGTGCGCCGCGGGCTCCGAGTCCGCCCACCCGGACTCGGAGGGTTTAGCCCCACGGCGTGGTCGGGCCAGGCTTCTCCGGGGCTGGGGGAGAAGTGTAGGGAGCCCCGGGACCGCCGGCCGCGGGCCTGAGGGAGGATGAGGCGGAGTCAGGTGGCCTGGCCGCGGCCGCCAGGCCCCTCCCGCAGCCTCCAGCACCGCTGTGGGGCAGCAAGCCGCTCCCGCTCCTCCAGCCCCGCCGCCGGGGAGGGGTTTCCCGGGACGAGCCGGCCCCTTTCATCCAGGAAGTGAAAGCGACGTCGGGGTCAATGAAAACAAACGGGGAGCCCGGGGGGAAGGAAGGCGGGCTAAGAGGAGGGAGTGCCGGGGCGCGGGAGGGAACAGCCGTGTGGTGGAAGCGCGAGCCGAAGGCCGGTTGCGGTCGTGATTTTGTAGCTGCCGCCGCCGCCGCCCAGACTCGCCCGGGTATGTCTGAGCCCGCGCCTGGCGGCTCCCGACCTCCACGCGGCGGCCGCCGCCCCGGCCTCTAAGGGCCGCCACGTCCCGGCGGCGCGCACACGGGCTGAGGGCGGCTTGGTGCCGGCGGGGTTCCCCGGGGAGTGCCCGGGCGGGCCGGGAGGGGCTGCCCAGGCTCCGCGCCTACCCAGCACCGCGGCCGGCGCCCGGCCAGGAGGATGCGCGGCGCAGGGCTCTGAAGCATGGAGGGGGTTCTGTACAAGTGGACCAACTATCTCACAGGTCAGAGGGCTCGGGTACCCCGGGGGGGGGCAGCGGGGGCGGGGAGAGGCGGGGGCCTTGGGCGGGTTTATGTGGGGAGGCTGCGGAAAAGGAGGGTCAGGGGCCCTTCCCTCTGCTTGGCCTGCAGTGACCCTCGCAGAGAATGGGCTCCTTTTGCTTCCCGGGCTTAATCCCTCACTCAGTCCCTTGATGGAACTGGCCACTGCAGGGGACGGTTCGAGACTGCGCATCTTCCTAAGGGTGGGAAGTGCGCCTGACCGCTTCTTTTCCCGTGTAATAATACTTATTTCCTCCTGTGGCTTCCGTAACAATTTCCAGTTACTCTGCATGTGTTGGTGCAGTCTCCATCCTTATTCACACTTGATTCGGCATTTTGTTCATAACTGAGTTGTCAGGGTACAGGACTAGAATGGATCCTGTAAGATCAAGATTTAATTTTAAGAAATCTTTTCTCTATTTCTTTTTAAATTTATAGGAAATTATAGCACGGTTTATTTTAAAAGTTGTCTTGTTGAAGTTATTAAACTGTCCCCAGATAACATTATCTTAAGAGTTGGTTGTCAGTGAGCTGTCTTTATGTTTTGGAATTAAGGTAAGTGTGAGGAATAGTGGAGGACAGTGCAATGCACAGAAGCAGAACAGTGTCACCCATGAAGTGGGTTGGAAGGAAAAACTCCGAAATGTAGAAATGAGAGACCAGCAGGGAAGGGGCTTTTTCCATGACACCAACAGCCTGGCTCATTTAAAGAGCCTTAACTCTGAGTTGTAGACCCATCTCTGTCATCAACCAGGGGTATGGACAAGTCACTTACCCTCTCAAGATCTCAGTTTGTGAAGTAGAGGATGATCAGTTTATCTTGAAAGGTGGCGTCCAACTCCAGAATTCTGTGATCTCACCACATTAGAGGAAAGGAAATGGGTTTAAAGTAAGATTAAGCAGGAAATAGATTTCTTGTTCCAGTATAATAGGCATCTTGACTTGCTACCCACTTGTTTACTCTGCCCAAAGTGTTGAACCTCTTGGTAACTGCACGGTACACTCAGCTTTGTGTCCACCCTGACCTTGTGCAAAATCTGCATATAAACACTTGAAGGCATAAGCATTGAGCTATGGTTGCTCCTTCCTTCCTTCCTTCCTTCCTTCCTTCCTTCCTTCCTTCCTTCCTCTCTCTTTCCTTCTTTCTTTCTGATTAATCGGAATGCTAAAGCCTGATTTAAAGCAGCAAATTCTTTAACATTTATGATACATGCATGTTTTATTTTGCTCACACTAAAATGTCAGTTTGTTTCTATAAATAACATGTTTTAGCAGGGAACTTTTAAAAAATGAGATAAATATTTTTTCTTAAGCATTTTTGTTTGGGCAGTTGTGAGAAGTTACGCTGTTTAGTTGAGATGTGGTATTAACTTTAAAGACAATGGTTTCTATTCTTTGAGATGAAAATGATCATCTCATTGCAAACTTTCATAAGCATAGTGTCAACAGTGTCTTGGGAGGAACCCCTTATGCCTAGCCTAGAGCAATGGGTGATTACTGACATGAGTCATAATTTATTCCTGGAGCGAAATGTGGTCTTGGTGGCCATCTTTCTCATCTAGGGCACTGAGCACCAGCTGGTTGAGCTTTTAACCACATGTGCTTAAGCTTTTAGTCTTTGCAGAGCATTTAAGCAAACTGCTAGTATGCATTGTAGAAGCTTGCTGAAATGAAATCTTTTGTTTGGAAGAATTCCATCTTAAAAATATAAATTTGACTCAGTGGCATGCTGACTATTAATTTTAGTTCATCTTAGGTCAGAAGAATGAGCAGCTCTTCGTACTGAATGATCTTGAAGGAACCTTTCAGTTTCATGACAGTGTTCTTTGAGAATCTTTTGTAGAGAATAAGGATTTCAGTAACATTTGGTAGTTTGAGATAAAAAGAAAGTTGTTTTTTTTTTAAAGAATGTCTATGAATTTTTTTTCACAGATGTGTGAATCAATTAGATTTTTTTAAAAGATTTTATTTATTTATTTGACAGAGAGAGACACAGCGAGAGAGGGAACACAAGCAGGGGGAGTGGGAGATGGAGAAGCAGGCTCCCTGCTGAGCGGGGATCCCGATGCAGGGCTTGATCCCATTATGACCTGAGCCGAAGGGAGACGCTTAACCCAGGCGCCCCTCAATTAGATTGTTTTAATTAAATATTTCTTCAAAAAGGTGTGTAGAGATAACTAACAGTCTTCATTATTTTAATATATTTAACCATGGTCACCCTTCAAGTTGCTACAAATTCTAAATGAGTCATTTTGCTCATTATTTGTTTTAAAGAGATACTGAATCACAATAATGCAGGCTTACAAAATCACAATTTGACTTATAGGCACACTGGACCTGGGGTGGAGTGTACTTTTACCATCCTGCTTATAATTTGTTTGCCACGGTGAATTAGCGTTAGATGTTTTTACCATTTCTGTGCATGCTCAATATACAATACACTCTCATGTAATATACTGCATATCTTTCCTCTCATGGATAACATATAATATCTCACTTTTCTGGTGTTTAATCACTCATTTAATCGTTGATACATTTTTTTTTAAAGATTTTATTTATTTATTTGACAGAGAAAGTGAGAGAGGGAACACAAGCAGGGAGAGTGGGAGAGGGAGAAGCAGGCTTCCCGCCAAGCAGGGAGCCCGATGCAGGGCTCGATCCAGGACCATGGGATCATGACCTGAGCCGAAGGCA